TCCATTCATTTACAGTCCCATGAAGTGTTCAAGCATCGCGAATTAGGAATTTTGAGTCGTCGTCCACCATTGAAATGGTGTCGAGAGTTACGATATTTAACCGATCCAGAAAAACCTTCATTTATTTTGCAATCATCTACGCCAAAACCATATGGTTCATTCGCGGACAATTTTATGAAAAAATATGAGAAATTCTTGCGCAAAGAATCTACATCTATTACAAAAGCAAATGCGTCCTATCGAAAATTGAATAAGAATATTTTAACCGATAACAGTCAAAGAATCCATTCAGATATTACTTTTCATTCCCAAACACTCGAGAACGGCGCTAGAGAAATAAAGAACGAAAATGATGAACACATTTACTATGAGAACTTATGGCCTAAAATCAACAATTTACGAACAAAAGGGGTAAGAACAGTTAAATCATCTGAAAATGGTCACCTTACTGCATTGGCTTCATTCCCTGGATCTGGGAACACCTGGTATGTTTTTTGTTCATCTAGCAATTAAATTACAGAACAGGTAAGGTAACAGATAACAGAATTTGGTTAATATATGTTATATTTAGGTTACGATATTTGTTACAACAAGCAACTGGGATCTACACAGGCAGCGTTTATAAAGATTTTGGTCTACTGAAAAGTGGTTTTCCAGCTGAACATGTTTGCAATTCATCCGTTTTGGTGGTCAAAACCCATGAGGTAATTCCAAGTAGACAAATTGATTACATTTTTTTATTAATAAGATTTCATCATATGTACTTGTTGCTTTGATTTTTAGTGGGGTCAAAACGCGTGGTCAAAATTTTCACGAGCGATTTTGTTGGTTCGAGATCCCTCTCGATCAATATTGGCTGAATTCAATCGACAATCGGGTGGTCATGTTGGATTTGCCTCACCAGAACGTTATAAGCGAACCAAGGGACGATGTAAGCTATATTATATTTAAACATGATAAAAAAAATATTTTCGCTTTTATAAAAAATTATATTTTATATCGCTCGCCTCGCTCGCTCCTTATTCCAGACTGGTAGCAATCCTAAGGAACGATTTGTATTGCAAATTCACCCATTAACAGGCACAATTTCACGGTCAAATTTGGACCCGGATTTGTGTGTAGTTTCAGTCATTTTCACAGATGTGATAGCATAACATTCAGTTGTGAATACTTGGAAAAGAGGAACGAAAATCATTATTTTCAATTGAATTGTATATGGAAAAACCTCTATCGAGGTGAAGAACGAGTGACGAAACCAAAATTTGAAACAAAAAAACATTTTGTGACGGAAATAGTTGGTAGATATTTTTTTCTGTGTACTGTGAATAGTGTTGGCTGCGAACATCTACGAACACTCGTTTAATAAAATTTTTGTTCGTTCGTTCGTTCGTAGGAATTGAAAAATGAAAATATTGTTCGTTCGTTCGTAGCAATTTTTTATTTCAAATTATAGATAAAAGTGTTGGAGAATTGAGAAAAATATTGTATTTTTTTTACTTTTAGTGCTCTATACCGAGTCTCCGAGAGTTTCAAATAAGGTTGCCATGTAGATGATGTAAACTTGCAAATAATTAAATTTCTTTCTTCGATTTACAAATACTACTAGATCGTGATTTCGGTGATTAGGAATGCTATTTTTTTCATTCTGATTTCATCAGATGATACAGAAAATTGAGTAGTATTTGTAAATTGAAGAAAATTTTTTTAAATATTTTTTTCATTTTTCGCGATTTTTTACAAATACGACAGTGTCATTCCAGCGGCCTTCCGTGTTTTTCATACAAGCCTCCCATATAGACGGTAAAAAATCTCAAAAAATGGAAAAAAAATAATAATTTTTTTTCTTCGATTTACAAATACTGCTCAATTTTCTGTATCACCTGGTCCGATCAGAATGAAAAAAAATCGCATTCCTTATTATTTCAATCACGATTGGCATTCGCATATTATTTAATGGGTGTTATTTGGCTGCTACATTGCAACCTTATATGAAACTCTCGGTATTGAGCACAAAACAATTCTTCAGATCATTTAGCTTCGATTGCATGTAGCCCCACACAAAAAAGTCCAGTGGATTTAGGTCTGGAGACGATGGCGGCCACTCATCTTTGTCAATAAAATCAGGCACATTTTCTCTTAACCACTGTTGTACTTTGTTTGCTCAATGTGCCGGTGCTCCATCTTGCTGAAACATCCATGGCTCATCACCAAACACAGTTTCGGCATGTGGCAGAAAGTTTTTGCGCAATATTTCTTCATACCGGCCGAAACGGCACCCCAAACCATGACACTTGACACATTTTGAAATCGTTCAACGACTAAATCATCTTCAGGAATGTCCTCAATTGTCGCTGCATAAACACGATCATTTTGCACATTGAGACTTGGCTGCAAAAGGAACAACTTCTCGTTTGAAAAAACAATGTTTGAGTTTGCGCGCCGGCGTAGCAGTTCTTTGCATATTCGCTTTCTATCTTGCTTATTTTTGACTGTCAATCCGTGTTTTCGGGTTTTTTTGAATGATTTCACTCCCAAATCTTCTTTTAACACTCTTCGCATTGAAGTGTGACTGATATTGTGCTCACGAGCCAAGATTATGGCGCTTCTTTTGTTATTTCGACGAATTTTGTCTCGTACCTTTTTCACCAGATCTTTTGTTCGCACAGATCTTTTTTTGCCTGGTTTTCGCTTCACATCGACTGTTCCGCGTTCCTTGTATCGTTTTATGGTGCGATGAATAAATAACAAATTGATATTGTCGTTCTGAAGCCGCCGAAAAATATCAACTTGTCGCAAACCTTTTTTATGCAAATTCAAAACGAGTTGACGTTTGACATCCATTGTTGTTGCAAAGTAAACAAGAACTGCGCACTAATGTGCATCATCACAGTACATAGCCAAAACATGAATAAACATAACGGTAAACAAAAGAGTGATTGGAAAGCAATATAGTTGTAGCTACGTAGTTACGAAAAAAAATATCAGTTTCACTGGCACACCCTGTAAACCATTGGCCAAGTAGCTTTAAACTGGCCAAAGTAATCCCAATT